GGCGCGGCGGCGGCACCTCCCGCTCCTGGAGCGGGGGGGAGAAGCGGCGGCGGCAGCCGCAGCGGCTGCAGCTCCGGGGAGGGGATCGGAGTCGCCTGTCACCATTTCCAGAACTGGGAACGCCGGAGAGTTGGTCTCTCCCCTTCTACTGCCTCCAACACGGCGGCGGCGGCGGCGGCACATCCAGGGACCCGGGCCGGTTTTAAACCTCCCCTCCGCCGCCGCCGCACCCCCCTTGGCCCGGGCTCCGGAGGCCGCCGGAGGAGGCAGCCGTTCCGAGGATTATTCGTCTTCTCCCCGTTCAGCTGCCGCCGCTGCCAGGCCTCTGGCTGCTGAGGAGAAGCAGGCCCAGTCGCTGCAACCATCCAGCAGCCGCCGCAGCAGCCATTACCCGGCTGCGGTCCAGAGCCAAGCGGCAGCAGAGCGAGGGGCATCAGCTACCGCCAAGTCCAAAGCCATTTCCATCCTGCAGAAGAAGCCCCGCCACCAGCAGCTTCTGCCATCTCTCTCCTCCTTTTTCTTCAGCCACAGGCTCCCAGACATGACAGCCATCATCAAAGAGATCGTTAGCAGAAACAAAAGGAGATATCAAGAGGATGGATTCGACTTAGACTTGACCTGTATCCATTTCTGCGGCTGCTCCTTTGCCTTTCTGTCACTCTTCTTAGAACGTGGGAGTAGACGAATGCGAAAAATTTCCATAGTTTGGGTGACTATAACATTTAACCCTGGTCGAATTTCTAGATTATATACATTTTGTGTCTCTTGAATGCATTTAACGTAGGGTGTGTTCGGCTAGAGGGAACTCTTGCCTGGTTGCAAGTGTCAAGGCACCGATTGGTTTCTTAGCTTGTATAGGGTCTCTTCCTAAGGGCTATTGTCCGTTAATACAGGATACAGTACGCTGTCAGTGGATTAGTGAGCTCGGTAATCCGGTCTACTAAATGCACAGAAAAATAGATGCTTTGAGGTTGAGCATATTTCCATTAAATCTTGGCTTTAGGCCCTAGATCAAGGGTGCAGATCAGATTAAAATGAAAATTCGTGCTTCACGTACGCATATTGCATCAGAATCTTGCAGTGATTGTTCTTAGTTTCCTGGGTTGCATTGATAGATTCTTATAAAATGTGAGTTGTGAGCTGATTTGCATAATTTTAGAAGCAGAATCATTTTAAGCATATATGGTGCTCATTTGAAGACAAAAGTATGGTTTGTATTCTTAAACTAAGTTAATTACAACTTTGACCTGCATTTAGAAGTTCTGTCGGTTGAAATCAATAGTGCCATACTATATACCTCATAAGGCGCTCTTATTAGATCTTTGTTAAATTTGCTTTTTTCTCTCCTGATGGGGTGATGTAGGATAGGGCATGAAATTCGCAGTTCAGGGTAGCATTTTATATTCAGTGCTCTTGCCACACGTAATAGCATGGAGATTGAGTGGGTTTTGATCCCAGATGATAATGTGTAGGTTCAAGGGATTGAGTGTAGCAAATGGTGTTTGCAGAGATTAAACTTCAGTTCTCACTTGAAATTTAAGTTTTGTGATGCCAGAATTGCTACTTATATTATTTAAGTTTCAGGTTCTCTGACACCTTTGGGTATCCCTTAAATTTACTCTGACTTGTGTAGCATGCCAAGTATAATTTACCGTCTAATAACCAGAAATGCTGGCAAGAGTGGATTATTCCAACTTCAGATTGTAGGTATGTTAGCTCTTTCATGCAGTGTTAAATTTACTGAGTCAGCTTGTCAAATAAGACAGAAACCCAAGAAATTTTAATGGTGTATAGTTTTGGTTGTCTAAAAGGCCTTTGTACTTCAAAAGATAGTGGTTATTGAAAGGCATTAAATCTTTGCAGTTTCAGATATAATAAACTAGTTTTGATCAAGGATGGGGATAGAGCCCTCCTTTTTGCAGAATGGAAAGTATTACAGGAATTGAAGGGTTACTCGTAGGCTAGTGTATAAGGCGTGAAAAACAATCAAATTATTGATCTGAGGTGACTGAAGCATTTTATTAAGGCCAAAATGTTGGTAGTGTGAATTGTAGCAGTTTAATATTTAGTTGAAATTATATAATTGCCTAAATGTTAATATTCATAAAAATTATTTCTTAGCAAAACAAATATCAATAAATATTTTGCTTAAGGTCGAGTGACGCCAACACCAACGTGTATATGCTAAAAATTGTGGGGAATTTTTTTTTTAAGGAGACGTTTTCTGTTTGAAGAGGTTTATTCCTTTGGATTATGTAGTTGCACGTAAATGTGCACAGTTAATTTTCCCCAAGTTTTTTGTTTTGAGATGACGATAAAAGTTTCCAAAGAAATAGCCCATAAAATGTAACAGTTTCTAAGTTAAAAACAATAATGGAAAAAAATAATTGGAAATTTTGGAGATTACATTAATTGAAAAACTTTACTAAGGCTGAACTTGACCTGCTTGCCTATAAGATAATTAATTATGGACACTAAATCATTTGTAACATTTCAGAAGTAGTGTACTATTGGTATGTACAGTCATCTAGGTATATAAGAACAAATTAATGAAAAAAAATTTTTTTTTAAATCCCTATTCAAAAAAATTTCTAGAATGCCTTTGGTAGACAGATTGCTTTTAGTAATCAGAATATGTTCATGCTATTTTTACTTTACCCATTTGATTTAAAATTATCAGGGTTATAAGACTAAAATTATTCTATCAGGTTCTTATATGTGAGTAGTGAGGTGGTTGGCCATTTCTCCTTTTATTTTAGAGTATGTGTACCTCTATATGTGAAATTTATGTGATTTAAAACTTTCTTTAAAACTGTATTTTTCATTATGGTATGCATAGAAAGCAGTATCAAATATTGCATCAAATGACTAATAACACTTAATTTCTAGAGTTGTGGTTTTATTGAGCCAAATGTTGATATGAAAAAATCACTTAGGAAAAAGTCAATGAAGTGTTACTTTTTTTTTTTTTTTGATCGTTACATTTCCAATAATTTTGATATACCAAAGCACTTTGGTTTGCTTGGTTTCACTTTAGTGTTTTGTGTTTATTGTTGGGGAAAAAAATTAAAGTGGCCATTGAAGACTTTGTCTCTGGGAGGTTGTAGGATCTATTTCAGCAGCTACTCTGTTGAAAATTAAATTCTTTTATAAAAGCAACTTTTATCTGATAGATTAATTAATAATGAAGTGATTTCTCAAAGGAAAATTGAGGACCATAATTTGGTTGTAAAAGATTTTTGCAAGATTGAATTATTCTAAAAATAGTTTGTTCGTAAGGTTTTATTCTTAATGTTTGGAAAGCAGTGCTGAACACGAGGCTATAAAATATCTAGATTTGTCTTTAGATTTCATAGAAACATTAGGCTATTGTATTTTTATTGTTTGATAAGTTTGTTATTAACCTTCAGAGGGAATATTTTTAACATACAGAATATGGTGACTATTGAAATTAGCTGTATTATCTTAAGATTAGTGATAACTGAAACGACCATACTTTGAGGCTTTTTTAAAATTCTAGTCACAATTTTTATTTTACACTGTTATGTGTATACTAAGTTCTGTTTCTTTCCTGTACATGACCAGGCTATGCTGGTGTGATAATTTACAGACTTCATTTTCATAAAGCTTATTCAAGAATAAAGCCCATGTGAAAAGAGAGTAATTTATAGTTTATATGACTTAATGTAAGGAAAAAGGAATTTTATTGCTGTTCATTGTAAATGTTTGCACCGTATTACTGTCATTAACGCAGATTTACATTGCTTATAGTCAAATACTAAGAGAATAAGCATTGTAAAATATGGTGAA